TTATCACCCGAAGGGTGGTCTATGCGGTATAAGTTAAAAAAAGGCGACGCGAAGGCGTTTGGGGGAGCCACCCCGGCGCGGGACACGCCTGCGCCCGACTCCCCCTCCTGTCCCGTCGCTCCTGTTCGTCTTCCTCCCCAGAGGTCGATGGTGGTGTGAGTGCTTTTTGGGATGTGCCTGGCCCTTCCTGGACCACCAGAGGCGTCGAGAGGCCTCCAGGGGCCGCCGGAGACCCACAGAGGGTCCTCCTCCCTCCTGGAGGATGATGAGATGCGGGCTGAAGGCCGCGGAACGATCAGGGATCACCAGGGAGTAGGACCGGCCGATGGCCATCCCAGACAGGGTGGCTTATGATGGAGCGTGGTGGTGACGATGGGATGCAGGACGTGAACTTCATGGTGATGATACCCGAGAAGTAGGCGGAGGAAGAGGAGGAGGAGGAGGAGGAGGAGGCATACGAGAAGGAGGAGGAGCCCATACATGGGAACGCTTTGAGGAAATGAGCCACAGACGTTCCAAGCTCATGCTTTGCAACAGCGATCCCCAGCCGCACTCGCACCGAAGCTACTGACGGCGTGCCCACTCCGCAAGACCCAACCATTCTGAGCAATGTTTGCGTCGCAGCGCGGCAGAGGCAGTCCGCACGCGCGTCCAGGCATCCCGGGCTACGGGATTGCGAGCTGTCCCGCAGACGGCCGCGGAGGGAGGAGGCAACGAAAGAAAGCGCATTCACGCGGCGAGACCGCGGGGGGGCGCGCGGGGCGGCAGGGCAGCCCCTGGCGGCAAGCGCGGGGCGGCGTCGCCGGCGCACCCAGGGGAGGTTCCAGCGGCAGCAGTGCAGGGCGAGGCCCAGCAAGTAGGGAGCTGCAGGAGCTGCAGGGCCGCCAGGATGGCTGGCCAGGGCGCGAGGCGGGGAAGGGGCGGTGGAGGCTGCGCGAGGCTGCTGCGATGGGCCGGGCGTGTGGCGACACGCCGGGCGCCGGCGCAGCCTCGCGGAGGCGAAGCGCGACCGCGGCGCGGGGAGGGGGGAGGCGGAGAGAGAGACGGGGCGGAGAGGCCAGGCGAAGCCCAACGGCCGCTGAGCGCCGTGGCGTCCGCGGGCGGCCGCAGGGCCGCGCTTGGAGGCCACGCGCAAGGCCACGGGCGGCGGGGGGGTGGGGCAAGCCGCGGGCTGGGCCCAGGGGCTGGCGCACGCATCGCGGCCGTGAGCAGGGCGGCGCCCAGCCGAGGCGGGGGCTGGGCGAAGGCTCCCCGCAGGCAGCCGGGAGGCAAGACGGGACGGCGCCGCAGCGGCGGCGCCCCCCAAGGTGGGGCAGCAACGACCTGCCGGGCAGGGGCAACCAGCGGACGGCGCAGGAGCCGACCTGCCGGGCCCATGGCCAGTGAGGCGGCGTGTGCGCCAACCGGGCTGGGGCCAGTGCGGCCAGAGGGGGGGCGCACAGCCTGGACGGCGGGCGCGCCACGCGCTGAAGCCAGGAGCACGCGGCCAGTGTGCAGACAGGTGGCCACGAGCAGGGCAAGGCCTCAGCGGGCGCAGGGCGCAGCACCAAAGGTGGATGTCGCGCCCGCGGGGGATAGAGGGCGCACATCCTGGGGTGGATGGCGCGCGGAGTGAGACGCACCTAAGCGGTGCACAGACAGGTGGTCACGGTCACCCGCCGGAAAGCGGACCAGGGCGGAAGGCGCCTCACTTGGGGTGGATGACGCGCCAGGGGCAGGGAGGGGCGCGTCAACTCCGGTGGATAACGCGCCCGTGAGAACGTACCTGACTGGTGCACAGACAGGTGGAACAGAAGCTGGGGCACGCCCGCGGCAGCCAGGCGCACCACTTGGGGTGGATGGCGCACCTGGGGGACGGAGTGCGGCGCACCACCTGGGGTGGGAGGCGCGCCGAGCGTAGCGCACCTAATAAGGTGAACAGACAGGTGGATCAGAGAGTCGGGGCACCTCCTGGGGTGGAGGGCACCTTGCTGTGGTCACTATCCAGGTGGGTCAGTGACACGCCCTGTGGGCCCAGGAAACGTTGCTGGGCTGTCGTCGTAGGCCCGGCGTCGGTTAGACCCACGAAAACGGGACTGGTCACCAGTGGGCCAGAAGGCCTCGCTGGGGCGCTTGCCTCCTTGGACCTTCCCTCCGGCTGCCTGGCTCTGGCGATTTTGCCGCTGCCAGACCGCGTTCCAGTCGACTTTCAGGATGCGGTAGTGGCAGAGGGTGCAGATATTCTACTGAACGTCGGCCAGGTATCCCAGGAAGGCGCGGCAGAAGTCGTCAAACTCATGGGGATTGTATCTCCCATTGCTGGGGCACTTCCCATCCCTCTGGCCGCAGGCCCTGTTCCAGCCCTCGGCGACGAGGGCACCACGGGCAACGTTCAGGCGGTTGATGGTTTCAGCCCAGGCCTCGACTCTGCCATCCCTTTCCCTCCACTGCGGTGCCCACTGCATGTCGCGCTTGGGTGTCTTTTGCGGCCGATCGCGCGGGTCGTCCCATCCCCTCGGGGGGCCTATCCCTCCTCTCCCCGCGTGCCCCCGCCCCGCCCTCGGTCCAATTGGCAGCCCCTGGCCCAGGGGCTCCCCTGCGCGTTGCGCGGGGTCCTGCTAAGAGAATCCGCCGGTCCAGTCGGACTCGGCCCGATCTGGGTACCGAGGCCTCCGTCCTGCTGCCGGCTTCGGAGGTGCCTCGCCAGGTGGGGCGTTGGGTTCGTCGGGTGGTGGCTCGACGGCTGCGGCTCCCGCAGCTCCTGGGCCGTCACCTCCGAGGGGCCGACCTCCTCTGGTAACCCACGCCAAGTGGACGCTGCTGTCACCCTCACAGTTTGTCAGCCACTGCGTGCCAATTCGAACGCACAGGTGCTCGTCTGGATCTCCTGGACCGGCCTCCAGACCGCTCCTCTTCCGAGGTCTGGCTGACGCCGCCTCCCTTGCTCGTTGGCCTGTGTCTGCCAGCAGGCGGGCCTCGCCTCCGCGTCGTGTCCGGCAGAGCCGTAAGCCGCCAGGTCGACAGGGGGGGCTGGACCCTGGTGCCTGATCCAGGGAGCGTACCCTCGACGTAGGGTACGTCCGCCGTCAGTATCGTCCTCACGCTCCGAGCTAGGGGCGCGCTCCTCTGGCTGCTCGTCGGGCGACGGCAGGGGCGGCGTGCCAGGTTCGTTCGCATCGTCATTTTGGTGTGGCGCTGCGCCGCGGCGTTTGGCCGCGACTCCTTCGGGATGCCCGGCTGGGGTGAGCAGCCTCCTCCGTCTGCCTGGGTGCCGCTGGGACCTGGTCGCTGTCGTCCCGAGGCGGCGAGTCCTACTGGTGGACCGTCCTGCTGTGTCTGGGCGCCTCCGCTGGTGCCCTTGGAGCCTCCGTCCCTGGAGCTGTTGGCCTGCCGGTGCGATCTGCGTCGGTGCCTTGGCCGTCTGCCACCGTCCCAGGTGCCGCACCCGAGCCCGCGGCTGGGCTGGGGCGCGCCCCGTCGGGCCTGCGATAGGTTGGTCAGCTCGGCGGCGCACGTGTGGCGCACGGTCTGGCTCAGGAAGGAGGCCAGGGGCCAGGGTGCCCACATCGTGTCGGCGCGGGTCCGTGCCCCTGACAGCCGCTTCGGCCCTCAGGAACGCTTCCCGAGCTGGTCGCAGGCTGTCTTCCCTAACTCCAGCCTCATCTCTGCCCCCGGTCGTGGTTCCCCAGGCACAGACGCGGGCCAAGGCTGCGCGTCTGCCATCCCAGGGGTACGTTGCCGGAGCTCCACTGCTGGGCACACCTCGCGTCCATAGATTGTGGCCAGGAAGTTGCGGCATTCCTCGCGGGTCCAGCACCTCGCCTCCGTCGCTCGTGAGCCGCATCCCTCTGGGTGCTTAGTGCGCCATTCCGGGACAAACTCTTGCCATGCCTCATCAATCTCGTGATGTTGCCGTTTAGCGTGGTCAGCCATGACATTTGGCGATGTCCTTGTCGTGGCGGTAAGGTCGCGGGGCGGGTCGGATGATTTCAGCTGGTGCCAGCGAGGCTACTCCTCGGCGCGCGAGCTCTAGACAGGTTGCAGGCGGTAGCGGCTCGAGGCCGGCAAGCACCCTGGATGGCTCCGCTGGCATGGTTGGGAGGGGGACGCGCGGCTCGTGAGTGATGTCTGGCGGGCAGCGCGCGGGCCAGGTCGCTCCATCCTGCAGGAAGGGGCAAGGCTGCAGCGGGCCGTGCCCGAGCGTTCGAGCGAACTCGGAGAGGAGGTCAGCACCCGTCCACATAAAGGGCCCTGGCCTCGCCACTGGGGAGGTCGGGTTGGTAGGTATCCCAGGCGTCCTGCTGTTTCCCTGCCGGGCCGATCGCCGAGGCAAGCGGGTGTGCGTGCGTGAGCTGCTTGAGCGTGCCCTCCCAGGTCCAGAAGTCTGGATAAAGGCGGCCTGCGTCGAGCACCATATCATCCTCCCACAAAGGTCGCCAGGAAAAGCAGCAGTAGGTCCGTTGCCACGGCCGTTGGCGCTGTGTTGTTGTGTCCTTGTACAGTTCCTGGCCCTAAAGCTAACCCTGTGCAGGTTGATGGAGGGTCCGCAATTGCACCTGACGTAGCCAACGAGGTCCACCAGCTCTGATCGTGTCAAGGCGCTGAGCTGGCGCGCACCAATGTCGGGTAGTGGCGGCGGCAGCGAGGTGTCCTGGCGGCGGCGGTCAGGTGTCCGGCAGGGCTGGCAACCAGGTTCCAGGAGCGCTGCCTCCAGGCAGCGGCAGTGGAGCCCGGAGGCCTGGCTGCCTCTTTTCTGTGGAGGTTGGCTTGTTCGCCGACTTGTCCGCCGCCGTCCAGGCGCTCCTGTTGGCTCCAGGGGAGCGCTTCTGTCGGGGAGCTGGCGGGCCACCATCTACTCGGTCCGTCCGTTGCTGCCAGAGAACCTGTAGGCCTGCCGCCTGTCGGTGGGCCCTGTCGTCGCCCGCCTGGGACTGGGCGCGCTGGAAGCCGCTGTGAGCAAGAAGGGTAAGGGAGAGGGAGCAGGACGAGGGGGCAGCAGGAGCGGAAGAGGAAGAGCAGGCGGGGGAAAGCTAAGAGCAAGAGGAGCGCGAGGAGGAGGAGCGACGAGGGAGACGGAAGAATAGAGAAGCAGCGGAGAGCGAGGTGCCAGGAGCGGAGGCGGAGGGAGGACCGTGGAGTAGAGCAAGGAGGGAGGACGCAGGAGGCAAGGGGGGGGTGACCGAGATGGAGTCAGGGCTTTGCGACGATCAAGGGGGAGGCGAGATGAAACAGGTGGAATGAAGGAGGCGTGGTGAGGAGGCAAAGAGGAGGTAGAGGAGGAGAGGCAGCAGCAGATTCTGGAGGAGGACCAGGGCACGAGCAGCACGCGGCATCGAGTCGCAGTGGCATCAAGGACAGGGTTGCATGACGCGGAGGACGCTGAGCAGCAGCACCAGGCTGCGGATCAGGACCATGAGGATGATAATAAAGATGACGCGGGGTTGGAGCGGGAGCAGGGGTAGGAGGAGGAGGAGGAGGAGGAGGAGGAGGAGGAGGAGGAGGAGGAGGAGGAGGAGGAGGGGTAGGAGGAGGAGGAGGAGGAGGAGGAGGAGGAGGAGGAGAAAATATAAATAATAATAAACATGACAGGTATGAGGTGGAGATGCAGGAGAGGGAGGGAAACGGGGAGTGGAGAGGAGGAGAAGGGGGGCATGGACGATTAGGAGGAGACTAAGGAGGAGACGCAGGCGAAGTGGTGGAATGATGAACAGTAGAAGCAAGAGGATGAGCACAGCGGCATTGATTTCAGGTTGATGATCCGTCGGGCTCGCGCGCGCGCGTGTCGACCATGAGGCCACGGAGATGCTCCGGGACCATTACAAGTGGCTTGCCGAGAAGAACATGTCAAAGCTGCTACAGGACATGCGAACTCTCTCTGTCTCTGTCTCTCTCTCTCTCTCTCCCTCCCCCATCCCCCTCCCCCTTCCAATCCCTTCCTCTCCCCCTCTCCATCCCTCTCCCACTCTCCACTCCTCACTATCCCCCTCCCGCTCCCCTTTCTCCTTCTCCTCCCGCCCCCCCCCGTCGTTCCCCTCTCCATCCCCCCATCTCTCATCCCAATATCCGCAGGACTCCTTTCTCCCTTGACAGGGAGGTACTCCCCCCTCTCACCTTCTCTTCCTCCTCCGCCTTTTCCTCCTCGTTCTCCTCCTCGTCCTCCTCTTCCGCCTCATTCGAATAAGAGCGCGCGCGCGCCCGCTGTCATGTGGCTCACAGCGGGCACGCGTACCATATACGGCATTGAAAAGGAAAAGGACCGCGTCTCTGCTATCTCCCTTGTTACCATTGCCGCCATGCCTTCTACCTTACTCCCATGCCCTCCGCAATTCTAATTGGCAGCGGAGCCAGGAGCGATACCGGCTCGCGATCCACGGGGCTGCGCATAGTGAGATGCGGACGCACATTCGCTTTCTCCGCAATCGCTTCATTGGATCCACCCTCTGTTCCCCGAATGGTTTATGTGTATGGCTGTTCTGCAAACCGACTGGCACTTCGCCCTGGACACTCGCAGACCACGATGAGGCAGACGCTGGACCGTGTGAAACGTGTGAGTGTCCAGCTGCGCAGGGAATGAGCAGCTGCAGGCTACAATGCGATGCGAAGCGACTCGCCCACGGGAGCGCCACGGCGTTCCCTGACCCATCGCAACCGACAGGCAGTGGCCGCAGCTTCGCGCCGGGCATGACTGCGAACCTTCTCCCTGGGCTTGTGCCGTGCCCCGTGATGTGTGCGACTGTGGTGGCTGTCCTCCTTCGAGCACGTCGCACCACTCGAGTGAAAAAACTGAACAAACATGTACGTCTTTCACCACCCTTGGGACCGGCCATGGGCAACAGCACCACTACTACTTTAGCCACCTGCTTCAACATGGTGTTCGTACCTGCGCAGGCCCGAGCCCCAAGGCGCTTCCGCAGCTCACATCGTGGTGGAGTCTCATCGCGGAGGAACTCCATCTTGGTGTTCGGGGGCGGCATGCAAACGATCACCAACCTGACGCCGCGATGCATGTTCTTTTCCCGACTGTGGACCGCAGCCCGCCAAACACGCATCCGGCGCGGCTTGCAGGCACCACGTCAGCACGCCGGCTACGCCACGACCGCTGCTCACTTGGGTGTTTCGTCCCATCCGCCCCTTCGACCAGTTCGGCAACTCCGAGCTGCCGTTCTTCGTTTTCTTCTGGTTAGTACCTGATGCGGACTTCGACGGGGGCCTCACGACCATCTACACAAGTGTTCTCCCATGATGAGGCGTCCAGGCATGTCGCTGGCACCTATTGCTCTCGTGCCGCGTGCTGCCTGGAGTCCTTGTCACACACCCTTCCCCAAGGAACGGGGAAGGGGCCCCGCCTTCGTGCTACACCGTGCGCGGCCTTTGTCAGGTTTGCCTCAAGCGTGCCGCCTCTTCACTTACCCAACAAGGTAGCAAGAAATGTTGATTATGATTGACAGGCAATCAGGGCACAGCTGCGCCACTCACTGAAGGATTTGTATGACAACAAGACCTGTGTCCCGCGCGCTGGTGCATGCAAGGCACCCTGGCGCTCGGACGCACGATGCACAAAGGGTGTAGTTTCAGGCGCGCTGACGTGCTTGTTGTGCCTTCGACCGTAAAATTACGCCTACGCCTTGCGCTGTGCCATTCGGTCCAGGCACGCGGCCACACGGCAATCGGTGCACCCTCTGCCACGGCAGCTTCGAACAGAGAAGTGTGCACGTTCCCCCCTTCAGTTGCATGTGTCCTATCACGCAGGATTCGCTGGCGGAGAGCACGCCTGCACATTGCCAGTGCGCGGCGGTGCAGGCCCTTCGGTGCACGCTACCTGTGTGCACGCACCCACGTGCTGCTCAGAGCGCCCGGGGGATGGGCTTGCAGTGCCCTGCGTGCCTCAGCGGGGTCGTTCTAAGACAGTCGCTGCGCCTCCGAGGCGGGAGACTTCACGGGGAAGGCCGTGGGCCGAGGGCGCAGGAGGCGATGCGAGGCGAGAGCCGTTCGACCGACCTCGGTCGCCTCCTCTTCGTCTTCCTTGCTATCGCCCCTCCTCGCTCATCACGTTCCTCACCCTCCGTCGCTATGTCTCTTCGTCATTGTCCTCCTCCTCCTCCTCCTCCTCCTCCTCCTCCTCTCCTCCTCCTTTCGTACGCTGGGCTCCTCTCCTCCTCCTCTTCCTCCTCCTCCTCGTGCTCCTCGTGCTCCTTTTTCTCCTCAGCCTCCTTTGTCTCCTCTGCCGGCCACGACGACAAAGGGCGCGATGGCTGCAGGCTCGGGCCGACGGCCGCACGGGCTCGAGCCTTGCTCTGGGCCCGCCGCCGGGCTCTGGAGATCGCCCCCGCCCACCTCCCGCCGGCAAGAGCCCCCGTGCCTATAGTGATGGGCCCCGCGCGGCGTGCGCCGGCTGCCCTCGCTCCGGTCCCGGCCCCGCCCGCGTTGCAGCCCCGGTGCGTCGGACGGGGCCAGGAGGAGGAGGATTACTCCCGCGTTCCTCCTCCTCCTCCTCCTCCTCCTCCTCCTCCTCCTCCTCCTCCTCCTCCTCCTCCTCCTCCTCCTCCTCCTCCGCGTTCCTCCTCCTCCTTCGGTACTTCGGCCCCGCCCGCGTTTCAGCCCCGGTGCTTCGGACGGGGCCAGGAGGATGATTACTCCGCTCCAGAGCGTTCTGGAACGCTCTGAGAAGGACGCGGCGTCCGGGACATCCTCCATAGCCGCCGGAGCTCAGAGATTCTCGATTTATCCTCACCCGGTTTGATCCTCGTCCTGACTTCGTCTGAGGTGCCGCCGAGCCGCGCACTCGGCAGCAGATGTCTCGGCAGCGTGGATCGGCGGCGAGCGAAAGGGGGGAAGCTGGAAGGAGGAGGCATTCTCAGAAGGCGGCGGTGTTTCTCAGGAGCCCTCGGGCCTCGAGACGTTTTCTGTGTGTTTCAGGGAAGGCTCGGAAAACGGCTCAGAAGGGCCGAGGCCTCCCGAGCCTTCTGTGCAGGCCCGCGCCTTCAAGGCCCCGTCTCACCTCCCCCCTGGGCTCGCTCCTCCTCCTCCTCCTCCTCCTCCTCCTCCTCCTCCTCCTCCTCCTCCTCCTCTGCCGAGGGGAGGACGGGCGGCAGGAAGGCGCCACCCCCGTGCGGGGTGACGCCAGGGAGCGACAGCAAGGGCGCCACCTTCCCGCACCGATCCAGGCCTGCGTCCGCCGCGTACGGTGGGAGCGTTCGTTGAGGAGTGGGCCCTGGAGGCTTCGGAGCCTGGAGGATCCCTGATCTGACGAGGGCGGCGGTGATAGACTTGGGCAAGCCACGATTGGAGTTCCACTGGCGTGAACACCCCGGATCCCTATTCAATGGTCCCTCCTTCACTCCCCTCGCCGTACCCGCCCAGGTGGCGCTGGCGGCCGCGCTGCACGCGGCCGTGCGTGGCCCGTGCGCCGGATGCTCCCGAAGGGGTCGACCGTCGGTTTGCCGGCAGCCTCCGCAGGACCCCTTCCCAGAGGAGCAGCACATCAAGAAGTTCTACCCGCAGGCAGGGCGTGCCCCCGCCGTCTCTGCCCGCGGAGGGGGGGGGGTGCAGGCCGCGGCCGATCCGTCTCTCTGAGGAGGCCAGCGGCGCGCGGTGTCAGCGATGCTCTACGCGCGCCCTCCCGCCCCGAGCCGTCTCCTCGCAGGTCCCTGGGGCCACTCCTGGTCACTTCTGGAGGCGCCTCCGCGGAGGGGCAAGCGCCGCTCAGGCCTGCCACTCGGGCCAGTGCCCTAACTCTGGAAAGGAGCCGCCCTCCATCTCGCCGTAGTTCAGCCCCTGTGCGGTTCGCCGCGTGCCGATGGCGCGCCAAAGGTCCTGCATCACCTGCGTGTGCACACTGGCTTGCGTCGCCTTCTCCCGCCCAGCCTCAACGGCTGCCATGAGCGGAGCAGAGAGTTCATTCTCCAGCCGCACGAGGCGGCAACGGGCAGGATGTGACCCCTTTTTTCGGACTGGGGCCGGCTTCTGTCCGTGCAACCGTCGGGTAATTTCACATGTCAGGTCACAATTGTCTACGGGCCTTCGGCCCATCCCGCCACCGTGCCGGGGTTGCGGATCTGAACTCTAATGGATGGTCGTTGGACTCTCTCGGGAGGCCTCTGGGGGGCCTCCACGAGGCAGATTGGAGGCATATTTAGGCGCAGTTTCGGGGCCTCTTTGGGCCTCTTGGGCCTCTTGGGTGCCTCTTGGGGGGCGCTCTTAGGCCGTCTTGGGGCCCTTTTGGATGCCTCTTGGGCCGTTTTTGGGTGGTCTTGGGGGCCTCTTGGGCCGTCTTGGAGCGTCGGGAAGCCGAAAAGGCGAGAATGCCAAAATCTGTCAAAAACCTAGTGGACATCTGTGATGTTTGCCTCTTGGGGCCCTCTGGGGCGGCCTCTTGGAGCACCCGGCTTGGGGCCCTCTTAGGCCCGAAAAAATCGCGCGGAGAGAGGCGCGCCGAAACCGAGGGGAACCGCGCCAAGCCTGGCCAAATTTCTGAATTTGGGATCCGGGCCCCTTACAGACTCTTCAGGGCCGAGGACTGAAACTCCAGGGATTTAGCAGAGGACTTGAGGACACGCCCACTCCGTGCCCATAGGCACGGTGGCGGATACTTGGAGGAGCATCAAGCGAAAGACCTGTTTGAACGTAGGCGCCACGCTCCCTGCGATTAGCTGTTCTGCACTGTTTGAAATTCGGCGCGCATTCGATACTTGAGGTCCACAGCGAGTGCCACATTTGAACATGAGCCACCCGCCATCCGTGCCATGGCTGGCAGAGTTTCAGAAGAGCGTGCGCGGCATGGAGGCGAGAGCTGCAGTTTGAAAATGGCCCGCCGCACATCTGTGTAGTTTGTCGAAGCTGTAAGAAACATTTGCGCGGAGCCAGGGCGACAGCCACACAATGAAAACGGCCCGGCCTTAATCCGTGTAAGTGGTAGAGCTGTCCAGCTTCAGGGTTATGTCATGTGCGGGCAGCCTCGGGCGGAGCGCTTGGTTCTCCTTCCCAACAGGTCTGATGGCACGGCAAGGATCTGCTACACATCACAAAAAGGGAACCGCGGATGAGGAGGCGGGGCGGAAGAGCCTCAGGAGAGACAGAGGAAGCAGGGAAGCAGGAGAAGGATGACGATGAGGAGAACGGAGAGGTGGAGGAGCAAGGACGGGCGGAGGGGTGGGAGAAGAGTTGGAGGAGAAGGCATGACGAGGAGCAAGACTTCTCATGAGCAGAGAAGGAGGAGGAGGAGGAGGAGGAGGAGGAGGAGGAGGAGGAGAGGAGGAGGAAGGAGGCGCTGGAGGAGAGAGGAGAGAGAGATGGATGATAAGATGAGAGAGAGAGGAGGAGGAGGAGGAGGAGGAGGAGAGGAGGAGAGGGGGGGTGGATGGCGCGATGCAGGAGTGGCGCGGGGGAAGCGGGTTGATGAGGATGAGTAGCATGAGGATGTGGAAGGCCAAGACGGGAGTAGGCCTTTTGCACACCACAGTGTTGAGTGCAACATGGAAGAGTATCCCAGGCCACTTCCCATGCAAAAATGATTACACATCAGCATGCCCAATGTATCCCAGGAAATGCGCGGGAGGGTCAAGGAACGGAGAGATAATAAATACATCATTGCCGGATCTCCCCGAAGTTGCCCCATCGAATGTTTCCCGAAGTTGGTCAGTTCGAATTTGAGTCCCTCTCCCTTCACAGGATACCGCTCGCCACACTTCTTCGCAGCGGCTTCCGACCAGCAGAGCCTCACACTGCTGTTGCTTTCAGGCCTGTGCGCCTCCCAAGGGGGCTCCGAGCAGACGGGGCCGGAGGATCGCGCCGCATAGCCGACGCATCGGCGATGCGACTCGATGTGGAGCCCGATGCGCTCCACGCCGACGGCGCCGTCGCATTGCCGATGCATCGGCGCTGCGTCGGCGTGGCGGCGCGACCCTCCGACCCCACCTCCTCGGACCCCGTCCCGGGAGGCCTCCTGGACGGGGCGCCCGCCTCCCCGTGCTCGCCGCGCGCTCCTCCCTCGCGGGGTGGAGCTCGGTGGCGGCCCCGCCCCCCGGGCGCCCGCCGCCGTGCCCTCCTCCCGCCTCGTGCGCCCGCGCCGGCCGCCGCTCCCCGGGCCCGCCGCCGCCTCGGCGCAGACGTTCCACGGGACCGACAAGATGGGGCGCCCGATCTACATCGAGCGGCCCGGCCACATCGACATGCCGCGCCCTTCGGCGCCTCGGCACTCGCTCTCCCGCTCCTGCTCCCCGCGCCCCGCCCGTCTCCTTCGCCCTCCTCCTCCACCTCTGTCGCCAGTTGAGCTTTGGCGCGGTCTGTTCTGTCGGCAGCGTCACACACTTGTTGTCGTCGCGGGCCCAGCGAGCGCGCATGGCGGTCGAGCGACACAAGCGGCCGTGCAGCGAATTGTTGAAGAGATGGAAACTGGACTAGGCGGCGGGCTAAGCAGCGTCACCCTCGATCCGTGTGGCTGCGGGCTGGCTTGGCTACGAGGTACCGCGTTGCGGATGCCAAGAGAGATACGCGACGCATTCCCCGCCTTGTTGTTGCCTTGATCGGCTGCGAGGTCCGAGACCTTCGGCGACGGCACGGAGTATCTTTCTACAGTGTCCATCTACAGTGACAGCGACACTGTACAGACAAGTTGGTGGAGTTGCGCGGGGAGTCTTCACAAGCGTGTCACGGCATAGCCTCTTATTCCAACCTTGGGCTCTGTGCCTCTTGGGTTTTAACTACTGATGGGTTGGTGACGTGTCCTCGCTGCAGGCGCCATGCCATGTTCGGGCGTGTACTCGCGGACTTCAGCAAGCTCGAATCGGCGTCTGGAGACACCAGGCAATTGATCTCATTGCGAACCAGTGGGGCAAGGCTGCCCTTCTCCGCGAATGCCTGGTTCCCGTGTTTCGGGAGTTGCCCTCCAGGTGGTTCTGCCTTGGTCGAGAGTGGGCTTCGGCCTGCTGGAGCCCGGCGGGGAGCATGACGCCCTCTGGCGGAACGTTCGTGCGCCACGCGGCGTCGCCGTCCTGCTGCGCGCGGGGGCTGGCTGCCGACGGCGTCCTGGTCGCGTCTGTTTCGGCCGTGCGCGGGAACGGCGGGTTGCTCTGCCCGGCCGCCCTCGGCTCAGGGAGAGCGGGCTCCGGCCGGGCGGCGGTCGCCTTCGGCACGGCTTGGCCCTGTGTCGTCCAGCTTTGGGCAGACATCGTGCTGACAATTCGCCTGCTCTTCCTCATCCGCCTGCTCATCCTCATCCCTCTCGCTGCTCTCCCCCTCCCCATCCACCGTTTCCCGTTCCCCCCTCTACCTCCCCCTCCATCACCCCCCCCCTTCCACTCTCACTCATCCTCTCCCCCTGCCCCCCCCCCCCCCCGAACGATGATCCAGGGCGGGGGCGGAACTTCGAGCCTGGTGCACACGCCGGTTGCAGCCGACCAGGTAACGCCGACCAGCTGTTTACAGGTGGCTGTGCATACAGGGAGGGGACGCTTCGAGCTCAGGCATTACCTCAAGCCTGCCTCGCTCCTCCCCTACCTCTCCCCCTCGAGTGCCCATCACGGACCAATACATGCTTCTTGGCCCGTCGGTCTGGCAAGGAAGGCTCAATGTGTCTGCACCGCTAGCGATCTAGCCCGCCACTCTCCAGCAGATTGAGTATAGGGTATGCCAGGGTTTTGCAAACGACCTCACTCGTGCCGCTTTTTTGCACGCAGCAACCCGTTCGGGAAGCAGGGGAAGCGCAGCCCTTTGGGCTCGCGAGTGTTTCTGATGGTAAGTGATGGGGTTTCATCCCGTCATGTCCAGGAGTCTCACCAGGGCTATCGGGTCCATCAACGCGGACCCAATTCTAGGGTCGTGGTCTGGACAGGCCTTCTGCAATGGCGGATTCGGGGAGTGTCGCCAAGTTGTAGGTCTTATTTGGAAGCGTTCTAGCCCATCGGTTTTCAAGCGCTTGCATACTCAAGGATATGTACACTATCATAGGGAGCAGTGGTTGGGGTAGATGGTGGCACGCTGTTGCTGCACGCGTGCTGGAGTCAAAACTGTGTAGGCCACGTCGGTCCTCAAACGTTGCGTTTGAACGCGCCAGGGGTGTTCACTAAATGTTTGCCCCTGTGGGTTCTCGATCGTGGCGGCTGTTGCAGTCAGTAGCTTCCTGGCTCAGAACAGGCTGGGCAGGCCCTAAGGCTGATGCCTGGCACGCAACCGCTAGGCTTTCTGAGACAGAAAACATCCAACTGATCCCCTCTCGCCCATTATTTCGTCATCGTGCTGACAGTTCGCCTCCTCCTCCGCCTGCTCATCCCCATCTTTCTCGCTGCTCCCCCTATCCATTCACCGTGCCCCGTTCACCCCTCTCCCCCTACCTGCCACTCCATTCCCCCCCCTTTCCACCCTCACCCATCCCCTCCCCCTGACCTCCCGCCTCGATGATCCAGGGCAGAGGCGGCCCGCACTTCGAGCCTGGTGCACATGGCGGTTGCAGCCGACCAGGTGACGCAAGCAAGCACGAACAGATGGCCCAGCCCGGTCGTGGGACTCTGATTCCGCAGGTGTACGCTGAGGTGGGAAGCGCGTCAAGCGCGTCTTCAGAGTCGCCCATGCCCTCAGAGGAGAAGCGCGGACCACCGAGGCCGAGAACCCATCGGACGAGGACCGACCCCTGGGCGGTGGCACGCCTGAGCGTCATCCTGTGCTGGGTGACGCTTGGGCGTGCCACCGCCCAGAGGTCGGCGCCCTATCGATGGGTTCTTTGCGGCGGTGGCCCATGTTTCTCAGCTGGTACCCACCCCACCCCGCCGCACCCCACCCACCCCCCTCGAACACCATGTATCAGGCAAGACGGGAGTGCGCCCCACTCGCTTGTTGTCAAGACCTGCCCCTGGCAAGCTTCCAAACATCCTAGGAGTCGGCGAGGGCACCGTCACACCAGGGGCCCGTCATGGAATGATCATGGCCTGGCCGCCTCAGACCAGCGTTGGGTCCGCCCCAGTTGTTTCAGCCAGGCTCGGTCACTCGCCTGCGGGCAGGACTTGCATACCCGAGAAGGGAGGGAGGCTTCCATGCAACAGGGCACGGGAGGAAACGTGTGAGGGCGAGTGGTAGCAGGAAGGTGCGAATGTGATGATGATGATGATGATGATGATGGTGATGGTGATGATGATGATGATGATGATGAGGAGGAGGATGATGATGATGATGATGATGAGGAGGATGAGGATACTGAGGATGATGAGGATAATGATGATACGGATGATGGTGACCACGATGATGATGCCGATATGTATGCTGGTGCTGATGCTGATGCTGATGCTGAGGCTGTTGCTGCTGATGATGATGTTGGAGCTGGTGTTGGTGTTGATGCTGATGCTGATGCTGACGCTGGCGATGATGATGCTGGTGCTAATGATGATAATGCTGGTGATGATGACGATAACGGTGGCGACGACGATGCTGATTATGACGATGCTATTAGTGGTGGTGGTGGTGGTACTGATGGTGATGATATTGTTGAGGACTGCGATGATGATGAAGCTGATGTTGATCACGATCAGGATGATGATCATGGTGACCCGCATGGTGATGATGATGAGTATGATGATGACTATGGCGATACTGGTGGTGGTGATGTTGCTGATGATGGCGATGGTGACGATGCTGCTGATGGTGGTGATGATGCTTATGATGATGGTGAGTTTGATGATGATGCTGATGATAATGCTGATGCTGATGCTGATGATGATGATGATGATGATGCTGATGATGATGATGATCAGCATCATCATCATCACCATCATCATCATCATCATCATCCTCATCATCATCATCATCATCATCGTCATCATCAGCAGCACCATCATCAGCATTGGAGATCTGATGATAGCCGCCGAGAGCCGCCGAGACAATCCTCCTCCGTCTCACCTCGACGGGTCGGGGCGGTGCGGGCCACTATGCCGATTTGCAGTGTTTGCTTGCCTGTTGAGGGCGGCGCGGACTAACATTCGGGCGCCGCAGAGTTCGTTCCACTCCCCATCCATGCATCTACCTCCTTGACCCCACCATCCTCTTCTTATCAGAACTCTCTCGTGATCCTCCTATTCCCCCACCTCTAATCATCGTCATCATCATCAGCGTCGCCAACACCATCATCATCACCATCGTCACCGTCATCATCACCACGGCGAACGAGAAGGGCGCCGAGGAAGCTTTCGACTACGCGTCAGAAGAGTGTGACGCACTATGGCAGGCAGGTACGATATCGCGAAGGAGGAGAGCAGGAAAGCGTGGAGGTCGCCACCAGACTATGTCAAGGCGACAGCGGCTTACCAGGTCGACAGCAGTGGGTCGGACGCCATGGGTACCAAGTATAGCAGCTCGGCGCACGTGGCGGAGCAATTCTACGTGACAGCCCTCAAAACCGAGCCAGCGGCGAGGGAGAGTCATTGCGGCAGACGAAAGGAGCTCAACTTCAGCACTGGCGCGATCAAGCTGGGTATCGACGCGCGGGCCGACTGGTACCAATCCATTCGGTGATGGGGGACGCTAGCGTCGTGGCTGGTCTTGGTATACTGGTGCCAGGGCGTGGAGCCAAAGGCCACGATGCCCAAGGAGCTGTGCAAGGGCCTGGTGGCGACCATACCCTCAAACGGCACCATCCAGATGTCGCAGAAGCAGACGCAGAAGTGGAGGCCAGCGCGCAGCGAGTTGTCGACCATGAATCGTGAGCAGTTGCAGTATCTCGGGGCGGCGGCACCCACCGCGGCGAAGCAAGGGAAGATATTCGAGGTGAAGGAGGCGCTGATAGCGAACACCAGCCAGGCGCAGGAGAAGGAGGCGAAGGGCGCGGAAAGGCTGCACCGCAAGATCAAGGACAAACCGAGGTGCGAGAACGACATCCGCGCGCACAGCGTAGCAGCGTGCAACATGGTCGAGTACATGCACCCCCAGGAAGAATAGCAGCGGAGGAGGACTGGGCCCCCATTCCCTCGGAGTCCGGTGTCGCTGGACAGGGCGGTCGACACCATGGCGAAGAGCAAGGCCAAGGCGTCGAGCACATGAGGGCGTTAGCCTTCAAGTGGCTGCCGACGGGCGCGAGGGCTGCGCTTCGGCAGCTGATCAAGGACATCGAGGGCTTCGGGACGTGGCCGTGGTAGCTGATGGTCACGCTGGTCAGATTGCTGCGCAAGGAAGGAGGCGATAGAGCTATCGGACACCTACCTGAGGTGGTGAAGCTGTGGTCCAAGATATGCGGCGAGTTTCAACAAGTGGGTCGCGGCAGTGGCCAGCAAGTGGGACGCTTTCGCCGCAGACAACAACGCGCTGAAGGAGGCCCTCGTCATGTCGCTTGCCGACGAGGTAATCGAGTGGGCGCCGCAGAAAATCTACACCAAGACGGCGTTATGGGGCCTGGCCGATTTCTGCAACGCGCTGGAGCCTGTCCCCATCCTGGACGCGGGGCTGCGGGGCTGTCAGCGCGCACGCTGCACGTGGAGATGCCGAGCCACCTGAGCACGAGGCCCGCGAGGGATAGGACGGCGTGCGCGGAGCCGGCGGCGCCCGA